TTCTTCCACTTGACAGAGTACTTGCTTTCGTGTTTGTGAATGTTTAATATAAATCATTCTTTCTCTTAAGATTAACGGTAATATTATTCATAAATATGTCAGATAACTGATTTCCACTCATTGTTAAAACCCTCTAAAAACAAAAAGCCTCAATCAATAAAATAAATGAATGAAAAATTGGTTAGTAAGACTTATTCGTTTAGTGGGGCTGTAATCATAGTGAATAACCAATTAATTAGTTATCTTTTTGAGTATAGGTGTAGTGTATCTAGAGTAAGCGTTCAGGAGGCTTGTTTTAGTGTCTGCACATTTTAATGGGCTTAATTACTAATTAAAACTATTGAATAACACTAGTTTAAATCTATTCAAATTAGGTCATTAACTCAACTGTTGAGGCAACAACACCGATACATGAATAAAAAAATAATTACGTCATTCAATGGACTTCTTCATATTAGGTTTAAGAAGTAATCAAACTTCACCAGAACATCGGTCGGAATCTCATAATTTATTTAAAAACCAGTCAATTGCTCATGCTTGATTATCAATATTCAGACTAACAGTATGATTAGCAAAAGGATCAAGTGAGTTTTTGTCCAATCTCTCTTTTCACAAATTTTTGGCTAGATGTTCCCATGCTTACGCTCAATAATGTCCCAACCAACAGATTTAAAATTTATGTATGATAAGTCGATTACAAATATATGATCTATTGGGCAAGCGATGTAAAAACCGTCCTCAATTTTATGCAAATGTATGTAAATTATAATTAACAGAGTCAATGGACGATACCCACACAATTTCGTACGGTAAATAAATTTACAAGCCCGAAACACTGAATATCAATCCAGTGATCTAAAGCTTAGACGTAAGTCCACAAACATAAGTGGGTCCTATCAAAAATCCCTATACAAGGATAAGACAGTCCCTTTTTTATACATTATACTACTTACTAATGTTCAGTAACGTACATTGTTGCCAATCACTTTTGGATATATTGTGTTGGTCCATTGCGACGTGGGCTAACTCTAAATATGTACAAGTATTTACCACATTTAATACCTTAAGAACCATGAGTAAATTTCCCCAACATTCCCCATAGTTTTTCGTCACACCACGCGTGTTCATTGAACAGCCCTTTATTTTCAGAAATTTTTATAGTTTGTGTAGGTAGTTCCAGTTTTTGTTTATTACTTGCAGTTATGTTTTTGTCAAAAACGCATCCATAATTATCGCAGAACACACCTTAATCTTACCTTGTCACAATCATGTAGGTCAACAAAAAGAGCCTCCAGTCCAACATATATTTCTTATACATCTTTATATTACATTAACGGTTCCATCGAGCTACATGTACTTCAATTTTTACAACCTCTTACCAGCAAGAGTGGTCAGTAGCAGTCTAGATTTTTCCGTAAGAAATGCTCAGAAGAGAAAGCAAAGTGACAAGTCCATATATAGACCTTGTTGTTTGACTGGCTAGATTTCTCAGTAGAGAGATACTAGACAATCTCACAAATAGCACGCTGTCTCAATAATTTTCTTGGTCTGGTGATAACTCCTGTCACTTCAAATTCAGTAAGTAATATGACTGTACATGACTGTTTACAGAAGACCTACAAGCAACTATAGTTACACAAATAATGACTTAAATGTTCACTGAAATATAGGATCTAATTCCGACAAAAAAGCAGTAGCATTAATAGCAGTTTAGCAGTAGTCCTAAAATAACTCTCCCAAGTATTTCCACAAAACATACATTCCCGAAGCGCAAATCCGGTTACAATGATGTCCGTTATAATTTTTTTTACCAAGAATAAGATGTTTAGCTTAATCCCATTATTCTAACCCATCCAGGTTCGGAACGAATGAAAAGTAAATCGTCTTTTCAACATTAGTGAGAAAGCTTGGATTTTCGAGTTGTAGGTATCGGAGACTAAAATCTGGCCAGTCGTTCTTGAATATAGACGCACTGTAGTGTTTGCTACATTGATCAAAAAGGTAGTTGTTTGAAACCAAAAGTTACGAGTCCAAGGCTTGTATGTGTTTAACAGCATTAGGATGGAATTGTGCCTGACTGACGAATTCAAATTAACACAAATGAGAAACTGGCAAGACTATAATTTTTACGTGAACCAATCAGACATAAAATTGCACATCCACAAATCATAGTTTCCCCTACAAACTCCTCACGGAGGAGTATAGGAAGCCCGCCAACACTCTCCATCGAGCTCTATCTGTACAGTCCTTGCTAGTTCTCACCACCTCTCGCGTCTTTTCCTAATTTCCTCTTCAGTTATAAGCTGGTTTATTCTTTCCCACAGTAGGTTGTTGCTGATGATATCCGGTCAGCGAGTATCTTGCATAGACAATCGTTTATAAATACTTGTATCTTGATGATGGTTTTAGTAATTCTCCACGTTTCAACTCCATGCAATAGAACTATCTTGACATTTGTATTGAAGATTCTCACGATGTTGTTTGACAGTTGTTCTGAGTTCCATATATATTTCAGCTGTTGAAATTCTGTCCTTGCTTTGTCAATCCTCTCCCCTGCATCTGGATCAGATCCTCCCCGTTCATCTGTAATGTTAACCTGGTACGTGAAAGTCTCCACCTCTTCCAGAGTTTATCCATCAGGTGTGATTGAGCTAGTGTACTCTGTGTTGTATTCGAGGATCTTGTTTTTTCCCTGTGTATGACGAGGCCTACTGGTGCAGAGGCTTCTCCTACATCTGTTGTCTTGACCTGCATTTATTCGTGAGTATGGAATAGAAGGGCTAGGTCATCTGTGGAGTCTAAATCGTCTAGTTGCATCCAAGCTATTTATCCCGTCAGATGTGGTCTTCACAATCAAATCAACCGCCAGAAGAAGTAAGAAAGGCGAGATTAAGAGGCCTTTGTCTGACTCCGGTCCTTACTGGGAATGCATCTGTCAGCTGTCTTCCATACACGACTTCTCAATGTAATTCATCGTAAGAATTCTGGATGATGCTTAAGATCTTCTCAGCAGACCATAGTGTTGAAGAAGTTCCCTTTCTACCCACACTGTCGAACGCCTTCTCATAGTCAAGGAAGTTGACGTATAGTGACGAGTTCCATTCAATCGGTTGTTCAAGGATGATCGCTAGGGACGCATTTCGGTCTGTGCAAGACCGATCCTAACGGGATCCGGCATGTTGATCTTGGGGGTGTACGCCCATTGAATCTTTCATCCGGTTCAGCGACACTCTGTTCAAAACTTTTCCTGGTACTAATAGTAGTATGATATCTCTATAGGTCTAACATTTGCTAAGATCTTACTTTGGTATCTTGATGAGGTGTCTTTTTTTGCAGTTTCCTCCCAAATCTTCTTGGACAGAAAGCGTAGTGTTTTTGCAGTCGCTTCTGTGTCTGACTTCAGCGCTTCGGCTGGTACATTGTCGGCTCTGCTTCTTTCCTACTCTTGATTTGTCTGATGACCATCCTGATTCTTTCGATCGTTGGTGTAGCGACATCTATAAGTGCTGCTTTCATATCCGATGGATTCAATGGAGCCGGTCCGTTCAAGAGTTCCTCGAAGTATTCCATACATGCGTTTCTCCGTTTTTAAATATCAACCCAACCCTCCTGCTCGGTCTTGGGACCGACAGCAACTCTAGAAGAGCTAAAGATGTAGTTTCAATTGCTGGCTAAAATGTACATATTTCAAGCAGTTTAAAGTTCTGGAATATTTTTTCACAATTTTCTTTTGTTCCTCGTTTTGTCCTGTTTTGGGCAGATGATCTTTTGATTTTGCGGGCTTTTGTATTTTGCTATGCATCATTTACTGTTTTGATTGTATAATTCACTTGCTTGCTGGAGTTATGATCTACACATCTCTAAATTCAGCAACCTTATTCTCTCTTGCTTTCATAATAGACTTATTCTTGATAGAGATATGATCGGTTGTCGTAGACTAACACTGTGTCGTACTTTTGTAGAATTGAGGTCTACGATTGCTTCTAATAAACTTATTGGACACTAAATTGATAGTTCTAGTTGAGTATAGCCGACTGGTCATGATATAATTGTCCGATGTATATGATTTCTAGTCAGTCACATAACACTCTTGAGTAACCTGCCTTATAGTGATGGCCCTGCCTTTCGGAAAGTCATCAAGAGTAAATAATAGCTTATGGTGAAATATAAAATAGTATATGGATAGGATATATGCACAATGCAACCATGTTTAAGTGAATGAACTATATAATCCTTGTGGTTATTCAGCGTAGATCTCTACTCACTTTGAGCAGTTTAGGTCAATCGTGCAACACCCAGTAGCAATTCTCTCAAGGTAGGATGCATCCAGCTAAAAAGATCATTTGCCCAAGGTTTGGTGTCATTTCACTGTCACAATACTTCCATGCGCTTTGCATGGACAGAAGATTTACTCCGAATAACATTATAGTAGATGGTGCTACTACTAAGGGGTCGATTAAGAACAAGGTATATCAGTATGTATTCACAGAACTAATGACGTTAGACTTCACTACTATCACACTGCATGGAAAATACTGAAAAATAAATGGAAAGTGGTTTTAGAGTTCATCTCCATCAGTGTTTAGTAAGAATCGGAACCACAAAGGAGGGATTAAAATTTATCGTAGTTCATAGCGGTAAAAAATTCCTACCAAATAGATAGTGATGATAACAAGTTGACAGGAGTTAAAACGAACAGGCCAAGAAGTAAATTAATCCAATGTGTTAATAAGTGAAGAAACGAAACGTAACTATGATATTTGATACAAGTATATTTGAAAAGGAATCTCATTTATAAGCCGCAAAATAACCTTTTGAGGAGGCGTGCAAGTTAAAAATACGAAGTTTCATGATATACGAACAATAGTTGTTTTATCCATAAAGTTTTTCAACCACCCTAAACCGTATACCATATTATCAGACACCCGAATCGTTATCTAATTTTTCATTCAAAGAATCAATCGAAAACTTACTGTTAGCTGTTTGTTTTTCTAATTTTAGTGTTTGGCGAAAATCCAATTCGTTTTGTTTTGGCGGGTTTATCCCTTTCGTTGCTTTATTTGTTAGATGCCATCTATAGGTCTAGAGTTGATTTTTCCACCTAATTGTAAGCCTATAAATGGTGATTTATCAAAAGAAGAATTAAGAAGACGCCTGACTGTATGCATTATATTCATCATTATCCTTTAGGAGCTCTGTAACGCACTAGACATTGTTATCGAGGATGAAGGAAAATCAACAGAAACTTCACTGGATGGAGAGAGATTATCGATTTCACAGGACCACACAAAATATAAAGGGCTGTTCCTTCTACTTGGGTCACCAGAGTTCCTGAAACATGCAGACAGAGATATTCAATTAAGAGTCGGTGTATGTATTTGCAAGCTACTTAAAATATTTTGCCCATGCAATCCTCTTTCTGGTTTATCTGAGGAAAAAGTTATGACAAAAGTAATGTCTACTTCCTCAACTGAGTTTCTAGGAAATCCTGTTTTTCTTAATTGATTGTATTGGATTACTTTCAAACGTGAAGACGAAAACCGATGCTGTATACATCAAACTTCATACAATGATTTATGTATGTAGTACAATCTTATGATGTCCCTATCTAGATTTGTGCTCAAATTGATGTCTTCATGTGGTGTTCGTTTTTGGAAGATGAATCTGTCCTATTCAGCTTCGTCAAAATGGTTTTTGCTATTGTGAAGTATGATTCATTTTACGAAATAATAGTGATAGAAACCTTGATGTCTGGTCTTGGACTGATAGTTCCATCGTTCGCCAGATGATTTTGGACATGGCTGTTAAGGTTATCATCCAGTCTGAAAAATTCCTGTCTTCTGATGTAGTCACTTTTATACTTCAGTATCTAATAGAACCTGCAAAAAGTACTCAACCGGCTCAGCATACATTCGCTCGAGACTTAATAATAAGGACTGCTGATCAGCTGGAATATCGAATTCAAATGGTAGGTTAATTATCTGCTATTTCTTAGTTGCAAGTTATTGCAAAACTCTCTAATTGTGGGCAAATGTAATGGAACCCAAATGAAAACTGAAGGTAAGTTCATCCATTCTCCTGTAGAGCTTTTGGAAGACAGCAGCGGAGGAATACCTGATGTGGATGAATCTAAAAATGATGAGGAAAATCCTGATTTACTTGGAGAGCACGCATTTCTAATCATTTACGCTTTGCACACAATACAAAGCAGTATAGTAGCGCCAATACTTCCGACTATTGAGTTAAAGCTAAAGTCGCCTATTGTACGTGAGCGTAAACGATCTTTCAGATTATTAGCACGCTTATTTTCTGAACCGGTATGTATTTAAGTTTGATATATTAAACATTTAAGAATTCTTTACTTCACAGGAGAAATCCAAGTCTTTGGGATGCATTCCTGGGGCGCTTCAATGACATTGATAGTGAAGTCCGCAAGTTATGTATTCACATGTTGCCTCAGCTTTTAAAACAGAACCAGGATTTAGTTCATGAACAGTTGCTGACCAATTTCCAACAGCGCATTTATGATCCCGATGAAGGTTAGTTTTATCATTTTATGGTTGAACATAATTTCGTATCTTAAGCTTATCAGCGTCCGACAATGATAGTTTTTCTTGTCTTAAAAGCAGCATTTGTCTCTAAAACGAGAGGCTCTGTGGCAGTGTCTGTCGTTGCAAGGTGTACATCAGAAGTACATAAACCTTTTGAAGGCTGTTTACTCGCACACTACCAGTCGAGTAAGAGCTTATGGCGAACTGTCATCTGATTTTCCAACCTAATGTAGTGCCCGACAAGGCTGTCCACCATCCCTACTTTTATTTAACTTCATCATAGATCCACTGCTGGAAGTAACACTCGTCGACTGAATTTTCAGGAATTGATCTATCAGGAGATCCACTTATCGACTTAGAATACGCAGATGATATAGTCTTGTTTGGTGAAGACGCTGACAAAATGCAGTCTTCTGTTAGAACTGAGTAACTGCCAGGATATTTGGAATGCGTTTCTCCCCCTCCAAATGTAAATTGTTATGCCAGGACTGGCCTGCGTCAACACCTGAACTAAGGATAGGGAGCGAAGTATTCGAACGCGTCGACAACTTCGCTTAACTTGGAAGTCTGATCAGCCCTAATGGGTTGGTGTCTGACGAAATCTCAGCACGGATTCAAAAGGCTCATTTGACTTTTGCCAACTTACGTCACCTATGGCGAAGACGAGATATCCGTCTATCAATTAAGTGATGAGTATACTGCGCAGCATTTCGCTCTTTTCTAATTTATGGCTGTGAAATGTGGCCATTAAGAGTAGAAAATACTCGTAAGTTACTAGTATTTAACCATAGATGTCTTAGAAATATTGCTCACATCTACTGGGATCACCGGGTAAGTAATAGTGAGGTTAGACGCAGGGTATTATGAAATGATGGTAAATCAGTTGATGAGGTCATGAATGGGCCACGTGTTACGTATTCCTGAACACCGATTACCACGACGCGCAATGTTGACTAGTGTAGGGGATGGTTGGAAGAGAGTTAGGGGCGGCCAAACCAAAACATGGCATCAGTGCTTGAAGTCACTAACTTGTAGTCTGAGCCATGTTGGTAGATGCAGACTACCTGGTTGAGGTCCGCGTGACTATCGTAACCAATGGTTGGAGACGGTGTGTGACATGGCTCAGAATCGATCATAATGGCGCAGGTGTATACACTCTTTATCTTTCCTTAAACCTTGAGATTGAAATTGCTTCATATGTTTCTTTCTTCCTGTACTATATATACAACCTTTCTTTTATATATTAACACCACTAAATTAACTTCTATGAATTCGGTGTTCATCTTGTTGTGTAATGAGGTATGGCAACTTGGACCGATGCATATGTGTGCCTGGTCCTACGTTGTAGCTGACTGACTTAAGTTTAAGGAAAGTAATCTTATCGTATTTCACCTGGTCGCTTCATTCCAAACCTTTAACTGCTTTAAGTAAGTTATTTCCTGAAATATTTGATTCTGCAAATGTCCATTTGATAAGAAAGTGGCTAACTAACATGTCACTGCTCCTACTGAAAAGGATAAATCAAGTAACACAACAGATCTACGGAATCAGTTGTCATCAAGTGTTGATATATGGGTCTATCCATTGACTGCTTGATACAAAAGTTAATTGCTAGTGAATAATTTTTCCGACTTGTAAACTTTTTTGTCCTTACAAATGTGCGGCATTGAAAGCATGTGAAACGAAATCATTTTTAACTATTGTGAAAGTTGTAATAACGTCGTCTAGGATATCCGTATATGTCATCAAGAATTTATTTAATGTAGTTAATTTTGCATCTCACAAAAATCTTGAGATTCGCGGACCCAGGCTTTTACGCTTCTTATCTTTATCTGCAAATCACACCCATTTTTTAAACTGACTCCTCAAGCCGAGATAAGTCAAGGAGAGTTTACATCTGTAATCTAGTTTTAGAAATTCACATGTATAATTGGGAGTCCACCGCTCCATTCATGTGGATTCATGCTTATTGTTTCTTTTTTATAGTTAAAAAATTAGTTTCAACCCTGTCAATTAAATGTTTTAATAGTAGCATAATGTTTTCATAACGTCTTCTTTTTGTATTCATAGAAGTCCGACTTTTAGCTTTAAAAACAATGACTGGTCTTATTAAACAATCTGAAAACGAAGTTAGCGATGATGCATTCGAATTGTTAAAGGAGCGTTCTCGAGACAAGACCCTGTCTATTCGTAAAGAAGCTTCTTCCGCTTTAGCTTCGCTGTATAAGGGTGGTTTGCAGTCGGGATGTTTATCGGCTTCAAAGTCAGCTTCCGCACTAAACACGATTTTGCACTTGTACTATCAAAACTCAACTGATGACAAGTTGGTTTCAAACATATTCCGAGTTACTATGAATTCTGAATATTTTTGTTCTTATTATGAAACATCTTTCATATGCAGCCATCAACTAAAGCAGTGTTTATTTATCGATTACTCAATGTATTTTAGGGGAAACACAATCTTACGTTCCCCATAATTCAAAGTCTGAGAATTTTAGTATGCTTTTCTTTATTGTGTGTCCTTATCGTATGATATTTATTCATATGCAGCGACTCGTTACCACATGTTGATTGACAGAATAGGGTTCAAGCGAGATCCTTGGGAGTTAGTGTAGTACTTAATTTTTTTGGTGAGACTAGTTTGTGGATGAACTTTGAATGACGCCAAATATACCTTGAGAAAGTCCACCTACTTACTGGGGTCTAACGAGGGTTATAAACTAGTTTGAGTAATCAGAATTGGGACTCAAAGTGGAAAGTTAAGGTTTTCACCACTAATCGACATCAGATATAGTACCAAAACGTTATTTAGCCATATGAAGGAATAAATTTTTCTCCGAAACTTGAGATTCGTTATCTTAGATCTGATTAGTTCCAACATAGATTATTGTCTCATCATTTTATTCTCAGTTATTAGTACACCTCTCTATTACTTGGACCTCGGTGTTTATGATATTCCTAATTGAAGAGTACATCTTTCTGTCACAATTCATCCCATTACTTTTCTGATTCCGCACAAACTAATAATCCAGGTGTACAGGCTAATGTATATGTTTGATTCTGCCAGTTCAGCTTGTGTACTAATTGAAATGAAAAGTGTATGGCCCATATGGGATTTTGATCTTAATATTGTAGTGTCCAGATTTTAGTTATCATTCCTATGAATAAACGAGGTATTAAGCACTTCATCATATGTTAGATATGGTTCTGTTCTCTTTCTTTTTGGATTTTTATTGTTAGAATATGTTGGTCATATCTTTGGCTCATTTCTAAGCACTGGATTCCAGTGATCATACAAGAGTTGTGTATGTGCTCGTTGAATTCATGATTTATACTAGCTATCCCAAAGAGTACTTTCCAATATCACTCCACCATAGTTTTGTTTTTGTCGTATAATTCTACAGGAATAGTTAGTTTATTGATTATAGTGATTATTTAACGTTAACATCTATTTGTCATTATCCCATAGACTACGATTAAGTTTTTGGCTTATTTTGTTTCTTGCCGATCTTAGATGTTTTGTAATCAGTAGATTAAGAACGAAAAAATATCGCTCTGTGTTCATAAATAACTGTTGGTTCTGTAACAGTAACAGAAAAATATGGTAAATTTTCTCAGCGAAAATTGTTTGAAATTTTAGTATTTTCATTACAAGACACTAGGAAGTTTGGCGATGAAAGCAGCTGTTCGGCTCTGTAGTAATGTTTTAGGAACTTCAGATTCGGTCATTCTGTTTTTTCTTCATAGTAACAACTTTTATTTTAAGATATCCTTTTGTTAATAATTGCTTTATAGGCTTATTGTTGAACGTTTATTAAAGAGCTCAATCATTCCGTACCATTTTGAAAATGCTGTCCGTGTACAAGCCTTATTCCGCTGTTACAGTTTGATGGATGAAGCTTCTATCAAAGCTATGCAGGAAATTTTTAAAACCCAATATGTGTAAGTCTACCAGCGTATTTTGGGCATGCTATTGAGGTTTAGATTATTATGTTATTTATAGAATCTTGTGCTGCGGAATCCTTGGGTTTATGCCCATAATATTTTATGGTGCTCATAAACACGTAGTATTCTATTTGTTGTGTCTCAGGGCGATGGGCATTCTAGTACAAATAATATATGGGCTTCAGTTGTGACCAAATAAACAGCGAAGGAATAGGATAATAGGAAATCTTCACATCCTATAGTTTGAGCTACTCTAATAGAAAGAATTCCAGGAATCACATGATCCAAATCGAACTTCAGATATTAGACAGCCGAAATCATCTGACGTAAAGAAAAGTGATAAATCCCTCATAAAATGACCTGTAAAAATTAACCAACTTCCCAGTATCTTTGAAAGAAATATTCTATTAAATTCTATTTTACTTTACCAGTTGTCACTACAGTCACTAATGTGATTCAGAACTCTCAGCTGACTTGGTTGTATGTCTTCGTTTATGACTATTTTTGGGAATATATTTTAGCATTGGGAGAGTAAATCTGTCATGTTATCAAGTCACTTTTAGATCATCTTGTTGTTTACCGGCAACGACCTGAACATTTGAATTATTTTCTTATTAGTGCCCTCAAACTTCTTCGGGATGTTGTCAAGTTGTTAACCGACCAACGCGATGCGAAAATTCCTTCCGAAGTTAATACTGAAATAATGGGTGTCATACAGCATCTTAGTAGTAAGTACCCAGTAATGTTTTCTTATTTTGTACGATTTTCCTTCAAATATGGGTTTCTTTTTATAAATTCGTTATTTTATTTACGTAATTTATATTGAAGGCAACATTCCTATCCCAATCCTTACATAAGATTCCATTAATTTTGAAAGTTTTATACAAACGTAACTAAAAATAAAAGTATACGACTATCTACTTCTGTTTTCTTAAATCAATAGTTTAAGTGGACAAAATTATCTTACATTGTCTTTCCTCCATAAATAGTGTTCAAAAAAAACCCAGAATGACATTATTACCCATAGAAATATTTTTTTTCCAACTTTAAACGTACAAACGATATAACAGTCATGCCCAGTATTATGATGGTTTCATAAACAATAATCCCTAAATTAGTATTTATAAGTGTGGTGTTTTACCCCCATTCAAGTGGTAGATATTCTTAGAAAGTTAACATTCTTTTTTTCTTGAACTTATGTTTGATAATGAGTCTGAAAATAGTCTGAAGGTCCATATGCTTGAGTGAATATCAATGTGTGGAAGACAAAAATAGTACATGTATCACTTGTGTTCATGATGTTATGTAAATTATGTTGCAGCTTAATTTCATGTGTTTAAACAAGTGTGATTATTTGATCTGGTAGTATTTAAATCGTTAGCAACCGCAAAATTGCTAAAAGTCCAACTATTTACAATATTTCGTTCACAGTTTGAGCAACTTGCTCTGTAAGTTTATCGTTGATCCGTCTCAATTTTCATGTATTAGACTATCACCATTTTCGAAACAATCTCATTAAGTTTTCATTAGTTTAGCTACATCTATAGGTTTCAGATACTTAGTAATTCTCCAGATTTTACACTAAGCCACAGTTCATGATCATTATGGTGGTCCGTGTTTCAGTTTATCTCACCCTATATTATATATAAAAGTCATCAATAATAGACTGTTTCTGTTAAAAAAATGTTATCCTTTGGATTCCTTCAATTGTATAGGTAGATTACTGACATTGTCTTCAGCAGTCTACTTCAAATTCTTTATGATACCAGGCAGTCAAATGTTAATTACCATCTCGTTAGTTGTCTAGCTAGTTCTATATTACCCCCATCTACTTCGGTTTGAGTACCCCTCTCTAAATGTATTAAGTCTAGGACTGATTTCCTCGAATTTCACGACAAACCGTCTTAACTTTATGCTAATGATGTTCAAGAGCAGACAACAACCATAGGACAACATAGGACAAATGAAGAAATTGCCTAGCAACTTTTTGTCGTTACCATCCAGTAAGTCTCATTCAGCTGTAGTTAGTTCAATTGGCTTAGACACTTTTATCGTGTCGATTTTTTGCCACTATTCTTTCTTCACTTTGGGCTTCATTCGTTGAATTTATTGGTTGTAACTTATAATATTGTGAAGCTAAAGAAGATTCTGTCGTTTGTCTTCAAATATAGTTTAAATCTACTGTATTATCTAGGGTTTCTAAACATTTATTCCAGTTGACCTATTATGTGTATCAATATTGATTCCAAAATATTTAGTTACCCGCAAATCTTGTTGTAAAGATTCCAAACCCCATTGTTTTTATCATGTGTTTAATGTCGGTGTAAGTATTTTTTTTTAATACTGTAGACTCAGAAAGTTAACATCAATTTTTACTTTCTATCAATTTTTCAATATATATAATCCTTTTATTTTTCTCTATAAAGTTTTGATACCGAAATCAGAGAAGTCAGTTGAACATCTGAAACGTTTCTTCAATCAAGTGCATACAGATAAAACACTATGGAATCATTTAGTTAAACTGACTAAGCCGCAGACCACTTGTGCTCAGGCAACAACAGCGTTGGTAAGTATTTATCGTTCTGATTACCAATATTTATGCTACACATATTAAATCAAACGGTTACCCGCATAGAGTTTCAATTCTTGACAAAACACTGTTTACCTTATATTTCTGGTCCTGTTTTCTTATTTTTAGAGGGATATATTAAAAAAAATAGGGACGGCAGCAGAAAATCCCAATAGTGCCAATGATAACCAAACAAACTACGCACGTGTTGTAAAGATTTTACTAGAACGATGTTCACCTGTTCTTTTTGATCGTAATTTTGGCACAGAATTAGTCAATCAGCTATTTGTCATCAAGAAAACTGGTTGCTTATCTGGAACTGCTGGACGTATGAACGTAACACGTTCACTACGTTTATTACTTGCAGTTTCCGTTTATTTTAAAGTGAGTTGGTTATTTCCTTGTAGTGAAAATATATGTTGTCGATTTTCTAAGCCCGTAGTTGGCTTCGAGACTATTAGGGAAAGTGTTTTAAAACTAATTAAGAAAATGATAATAGAGTTATATTCTCGAGAAAATTCTTTCCTCGCAATGTAATTGTTATAAAGTGGATTTTCCAAACCTTAGCGTTAAAGTTGGTTTGGTTTATAAACATATTGGCTTAGCGAAATCATCCATGATCGTTGTTTTAGTTGTATAAGTTTTCATAAAGTTCCTCCCCTTTGTATTAATTTTATCGATTCAGACCTATATAAAAACAGTACTGCATTGTTATTTGTTATATTTAGGGCTTAATTACTGAGAAGTAGATTTGTCTCTAAAATAAACATTCCCATTTCTTTCATGTAATAAAAACAATGTTGAATTATAAGTGTAATACAACTCATTGATTAAATACATTTATATGTTCTAGGTTTGGACCCTCTTCCCACACACAGATGTGGTTGTAGCTGATCTAATTTACCTCTCAACTGATAAAAGAATAAAATTATTGGAGTCCGTTCCCAATTGATTCAGAGCTGAGTTACTAGTCCACTAAGTTATAACCTCAGCGTTGAAATAATATTTTATGATTTAAAATTAAATTACATGGCTCTGGTAATTTGTGTAGTATAATAACCCGTATTGTATAGTATTCTTTTTATAATAAAAAATGAATTGTTTTCTCTTGATTATTTGAGAAGCCAAGTTAGGTGGCTTCTTACTGAATTGTGAAATCTGTGGAAATAGTCATACAAATCGTGTATCATTAGTATGGATCAATTATAAACTACCTTGTCTCATGGCAACCTAGTTGTCACCACTTTTTTTGTCAGTTAACACCTTTCATCCCTATATAATTATTTCATTATCACTACTATCCCTGTCATCTTAATTCACAACTGTTTATTGTACTTTTTTGCATCAAAATCTAATTAACTTTAGGAGATACTCCCTTCCAATGAAGTCATGGATTACCTACTCTGTATTTTATCTGATGAATACTCGTCAGTGCTTAATGATGATAATGATGAAAATGTATCATCGTCATCTAATTCAGATTCTTATGACGATTCGTATACATTACAAGAAATGGCTTTAAGTGTAAGTAACAAGACATAATAGTTCATAAACTTTTATTTCATTCAGTCCTCACTATCATCTGTTGTGCAGTTATTTTTTTTATTGATTATTTTGTCGATATTGAACTATGTTTTTGGAAAAAAAAACGTAAGCTCATTATTTATTATTCAGTAAGTCTTGACATATATGATTTTTAACAAGAAAAATATCACTTCAGGAATATATCATATAAGATACTTACCTATTTATTGGCTAGACTTACTATTCGACCAATAATTGGAATTAAGGTTAAATGTGAAAATCTATTTTTAAGATATTACTGTCGTTAAACAATGTTAGCATACATTCTCATTATATACAGCTGAATAATAATATTTAGATCAATATTAAAGATTGCAATAAGTAAGTCTTAAAATATATCCGTTTCAGCATAATTTGGAATTGTTAACCATTAAGAAATTATGATGTAGACTTTTAAAATTAATAATGATAATGTTTTAAAAAACTACACTGTTTGTTATGTCCTAGTGAAGATTAAATTACGGGTGACTACTGAGATCTATTAATGGACTATTGTTCTATATATATTCCTATTGTATAACTGTTCAGTAACTAGATTATGTATATCTATATTTCTCTTATCATAAGCTTCATTTTGACCTATAGATTATTATTATACAATTTACTGTCCCTAAAGTATATTCAATTTATTGATTACTGTCTCCCACTTTCTCAGCCACTCTTTGACTTGATCTTGTACAAATGTTATTTTCTATTATACGATGTGATGCAGTCTGTTTGGCTAGTATATAAACCATGTATATTTGAAATAAATGATTCGAATAGTGGAAGCTGTTATTGGTGTTCTGGACTCAACTGGAAGGACCAGACGGACAAAGGACCAATAACGACGCTAGGCTGCTCATACCGGTCGAACGTCATTGGTTTGGCACATTGCTAAGATTGGATAAGTCGTATTTCCATTGGTTAATAAATCACGTAATAAAAGGCGGGCATAAATTCACAACAATGTTGTGGTAAAATATAGTTAAAGGACTTTTGATGGTATGAACCTGAAACCACTTACTAGTTGTCATTCAATTAGTTCTGCATAGGATTACACAAATAATTTTGAAAAAAAATTATCAATATACTGTAAAGGGGTTCCTAATGGTATTCATAAACGAAGCCGAATTTACATCCGGCATATAAGTTCTTTAGAGTTAGATAACTACCATCAAATTCTTTACATAGTCCATCATTTCATTTATTTGTGTGATGGACTATGTACTCTTCTCTTTTTTTCATTCTTTTTTCTTCCGTTATATATACGCACCTTCCCCCTTTCTGCTCCCATTCTCATTATTTTGTGTGGCGCATATGTATCTGGTGCCTTTTTGTACCAATATGTATGTGTTTAAATAAATAAATAAGATTACATAGTCCATAACTCAGCATACATCCATTTCCTTTACTTAATAGTGAATTCAAGATGTCTACGATTCTATCAAACCTGAAGTTTGATACTTTAGACTCACAGTCATTAGAATTTGACTATACACGTTTCCAAGTGTTTTTAAGTGACAAATGTAAATTCCTTCAAGTTTCACGAGAATTTTGACAATGTGATGTTTTTATCGCACGTTTTAAGTTTTTTGAGCTGGTTGCAACTTATTACTTATTTAGCAGTTCTCTGTCAAAAAGGAACAAAGTGAATCGAAGCAGTGTGCTCAGTCCTATAAAAGTGAGGTTAAGATTATGGCATAACATTTGATCTGATCTGTTGTTACCATGATCAAGTAGTGAAACTGGTAAGAATCAATACGTTCAAAAATTAGATAACATTCCAAAGGTTTTGAAAATCTATAATCTACAGAAAATATCATTTTATGTAGTCTCTTTGGCACTATATCAATCGCTTTTTCTTAATTGCTGAATAGTGTTTTCCTAAAAGATACACGAAATGAAATAGACACTCGTTTCATAATATTGAAGTTTGATACCAAGTTAATTTCTAGTCAGTCAAAAGTATATTCTTATTTTGGTCCCATGAAAAATTCCTCTCTACAATAATTCATCCTGATATCCAACCAGTTTTCTTATTAGAACTGTTACTAACATAATACAAAACATTTAGTTTTCATCCGACAATTCCGTGGTCAAATATCAAGTGTTTCGTCAATAAGAAAGTATCACCTTTCTGTTACAATTGCATATTTCCATGCTTAACGACGTAATTTTTATAAATCTTTTTGCAGATTCTATGTTGTGTACTTGGTGGGGGTCCAAGTGGAACATTTAGTAACACTGACTTAACTGAGCCTCTTCAAAATATCGCTGACAAACAAAATCTTAGTATTTATGCTCAGTTAACTGAACGTTCAGAAGAATTATTACCAATTTTACATCGCTTTTGCTGTACAGGAATTGCTCCCATTTCTCTGGAATCATGTCAAAATAGAGAGACTGCAGAAAAGTCTATAAAAAGTAAATCTAGTGAAATCTTATTTGCTGTTTAATCAATATGAAAGACGCGTTTTACTTTCTGGTAATTTTTTTTTCCAAAAAATGGCTTTCAATTTATTAGCTCATGATTTTCTCCTTGTTATTGGGGAGGTAATTATTATAGTGTTCATCAATGATTGAACTTCAACTTGATAGTTTTTTTCTTTTCTCGTATAATTCCAATATTTAGATAATCGGAAAACAACAAAACATGGAGCAAAAATTCCTTCACCCAAGTTAATAACAGAAGCTGTTTCAAATAGTGTTGTTTGGCGTCGTGAATGTCGTCGTTCCAAGCTATCAATACGTATTTTGTTTTGTCTGTGCAATGTTGTACGTCATTTATTAAATTCAAAGAGTAATTCTGAAACAAACAATATAGATTTGGATGAAGAATCTACTATATTAGAGAATGATGATTTAACTGACGAACTGAAAAGATTATATACTTTAAAATCTAAAATTAATGAAATTCTCAATGATATTGTTCAGGTTAAGTAATTACATTATTTATTGTTGAAATGATAAAAGAGTTAATTACAGGTTTTTAATGAGAGAGAAAATTTCTTCTTCTGAATAATAAGATTATTTATTTGTCCTATTTTAATAATTTTGATTAATACTGGTCTTAAAATTCAATACATTTTTACGTATGATATTTCTCACCTCACTAATAAGTCAGTCAGTCAGCTACAACGTAGGACCAAGCACATATATGCATCGGTCCAAGTTGCCACTAATAAGTAATGTTATGTTTGGAATAATTTTAGCTACAAAATTGTCATATATGTTATAGCACCTCTCCTACAATCAATTTGATTATAGTTAAATTTTGTTAAGTTCTTTAATTAACTTACTTAACAAATAATGTTATTCGAACAGTAACAATTAATCTATTTCTTTGTTCTATTGATTACATGACAGCCTATGCACATATCTCTCTCTAGCTTAAATGTTAAGCGCTTAAATGTCGCTCGATAAGCCATTCTCTTTCCCATGTAAATATAAACTCGAATCCTATTATTAGGCTTTGCCTTTCCTATCTGCGCTTTGATTTGATTTGACTATAAATTTGCCTCTGTCTCCGCTTCCATACACGCATTCGCCTCTCTGCTTCAAATACTCTTTATGTGCTTGTAGCTTTGTTATCCGCGCTAACCGCCAATAAACTATAGTCCCCGCTTCTTATTGCCTTCTAACTTCAAATACTGTTGGGATTTATATAATAACGGTTATCAAGGTGATTGATTGACAAAGCGAAGCTACTACAATGTTTTTTTTATTCTCTCGTTAGTGTGTACACTCAACTGTCGTAAACTTACTCTTCAAGATCCATCTTTGGCGTGGTTTTGCCTTTACTCTGAATCTGCATTACCTATCAGAAACAATAAATGATCATTTAAATTTGCATAAATCCACTTATTTTCTATTTTGAAGTCATTTTTAAGAGTTAATCATCGATCTAGCATCAATCTTACTCCATGATATACAGAATGTCATTAAAAAATGAAGAAAATTTCTGATTTAAAAAATTGATAATTAATGAGAATTGATGATTTCCTTCTTTCTAAAGATTATAAATACATATTCAACCATTCTGACAAATTATTGTATTATACTATCACTAACTGTAAAATAATTTTTGTTACTACTGTTGATAACATTATAGTTACATAACAATTTGAAATTTAGGCCTAGTCCAAATTATATTCATTTTAGAGAAGCAGTTACAATGGTAACAGATCAGAAGTGATTACAAATCAACAATGACTTACATTGTTGTATACGAGGTTAATAAATGAAACATGTTATGAGGTAGTTAATACTACTACTGAAAAAATTTCCCTTTTAATTTTTTGCCATAGAAACTTCACAACTGACTAGTTCAATTTTTCCCCTCAAATTTCTGTATCAGTTATTTGCTATTACTGTCAAGTGTGTCTGTTGTTATCTCATAATTTGCAATATAATACATCTTATGATTTGTCTACTCCCTAGTGTTATTGTTACCACAAATGACCAATTTATAGTATTGTGTTGTATTGTTTATTAATTAAAACTAGTCCTTTCTAACAAAAAATCTTCATTGCCAATTATTAATAGTATTTTGTTTCTAAATTTTTCTCCTATTAGGTTTGTATTTCATGCCCTACTCTATCTAACGATTACATATCCTGCCTCACTTCACTAAGCCATATTGCTTTATTATTTCCTGATGTATACAACGAAGATATTAAAAATTTCATTACAAAATCTTTGGTACAACAAGTATTAACAATTGAACCAGATGATTTACGAAATCAAGAACAAGAAAAAGACAAAATGCAGATAAACAGTGTGACATCAAAGAACTTTTCAAATCAACCCAACGCTCTTAGTTCTTGGTCACCTGATAGTTTAGTCAGTAACTTAACTAAAGCAAAGGTAAACACTACTGAGTTTCTTCCAGTATTTCTTATATGACGCATAACTTCCTTTAGTTACTATTAAACAAACCAAGATCAGTTAGCTTCTTATTTTCGAAATCAATCATAAGTATAATAATGTAGTCCACATACTAATTATAGGTTCACTTAATTTTGAGCCTCGTCTTTTTTACGAGGGTTTATACTATTCTATGATTGGTCAAATCAAAGTGAATGGAATGGGTTTCCAAGCTAGAATCCCGTTAACTAGGAGTCTAGTCTTTGACCCTTTAGCCTAATGTAGCATTTTTCAATTCTGCGATCAAACAGGAATTCCCAATGTTTCCACCAATGTACGAATTCTGAGTAAGAAAAGCTGTTCATTTTATTAGACAAATAAAGACTTCTTCATATTGAGCTGGGACAACTTGATGACTAAATTCATTTGTTCAACTAAACAATTGTGTGAATCACTCAGGTTGTAATTGAATTCTGTACAGTTCATGTAATGAGTCATCTTAGATATACATACACATGTCTTTTATTTACGATTAACTAATTAGATGGTGAACACGTCTGGATTTATTTTCTAGCCTGTTTTCAAGGTTATCAGGTTTATAATGAACTGACAATACAAAAAATATCATTTTCGTTTAATTACAAAAGATATCTGCCTTTTCTTATTGTCCAGGGCTATTATACTTAAAAAGCGATAATTTTAATATTATCTTTTCCACACCTCTGTATAACTGACTGGAATCCACTTTCATTGATCCAAAAGTCACACTAAAAATTATGCTTATACAATTCTAGTGACATTATATGTTTGAATAGATAGTTTATCATGCATTGATTACCGTTGATTGTTCAACCTTGTTGATTAATTTCTCCGGGCATCTTTTAAAGTATGATCTAGTAATTGCCTATATTTTTCCTCCAGATTTTTAAATGTTCTGGTTTTCTATAGGTTTTGTGATGAGAAAACTCATTGCCAGTAAGAAGATTTATGTTATCTGTGTTATCTAGCTGGATATTTATCTATACGAAAACATTCATTTGTAAATCGCAAATCTTTCCAATCTTTCCATTCTGTTAAACATATCGTCTACTGTGTATTACTCAATATTTCTTGTGCAGAAAATCCTACTACTACTACTTTGCTTAATCTTAACATATTTCTGTTTATGTACTACTTACCTATTTTCATTGCCTTAATCACTGATAAGAATCCTAGATACGTTTGTAGAACCAAATATACAATGTAGCAAAACTTATTATTCTTATATAGAATGAGTCTTGTTTGTTCATGTTAAATGGTATTCAACTTAATATCATGATTAGAGTGTTTCGTAAACACTATTCTCCTAAAATTCGATCATTAATTAATGATTGTCCATGTAGTGATAGCTGCTGTGTTTTGTAATGAGATATACGAACTTAAATCTATCAAATGTTAAAACATAATATTTTTTAGTTTCAGTCTCCCTGTTGTATTGAAATTTAAATTGTTTAAATAACATTATTATATCTTTATAATCAAGTAATTTTTTTTATTAGGTTCAAACATTTTAATCCTGCTCTATCTTTCAGATTTCAGCTATCAAACTAATAACAAATTGGTTAGTAGGTTTGAAAAATGAAGTGAAACCTGTTGTTCAGGTTATTATTCGACTTCTTTATCGTATAATCATTCATGATGGCGATTTAACAAAAAGTGGTAAATTATCGTAAGTTTTAATATTGAATAATTTCCTCAAGTACTGAAATATGAGCCATTTACAAAATTTTATTGGGTTCTCCCGACTCAGTGGTCTAAAGTTTATGGGTTTGTGCGCGTGACTAAAAGTCCTAGGTTCAGGTCCCGCGCGTGGGATCGTGAATGCTCACTACTGAGGAGCCCGATACTAGGACAAAAATACTGTCTAGTACTTTCAGGTTTTCAATGTTGCTCTGGCTTAGATTGGCTTGTGATTTCAATGAAATCCAACAATCTTCACAAGCCGATACTGAATATTTACAAAATTATTGCAGTGAAGTTGATTACGTTTTGATGTGCTAAAAATTGTGGATCAGTAGATCTCTATTTCACTTTCTATTTTGTCCCGAAAATATTGATAAACATTTGCTTTCTATTGGAGTTTCAGGATTACAGTTCCTCTAGTTAGCGTATTTTTAGCAAGGTTCTTCTTTACGGGATTGTATTGTTAACCACTTCATACCCAACCCACCTCGTTTATTCAGGTTTGGGACCGGCAGTAACTCCAGAAAGACTCCGGACAGAGTTGTAGAGGCTCTCTAATTGATAAATATCCTGCTATTTTTATATCTTACACATTTTTTTGAGATTTACATAATACTAATAATTTATTTAGCTCCGTTTTCAACTAGTGTTATGAAAAGTTAATAGATACGTTTATCATTGAGTTCCCATCGTTTACAAATAGTCCGCAAATACTCTAGAATTCTAAAGTCTAAGAGAATTCTAAGATGGATGTTTTTTAGTTGTTCACTGCAGAAAACTGAATATTCATCTTTACTATCCTGTATAATTGACTGTTTTAATGAGAATACAAACTTGCAAATTCAGTTTAAAAATATAAAACATAAACGTTTTCTTGCATAGAAGATATCGTTTGAATTCTACACTCTATCGATTACTGTCATATAAATTCAATATTAATACAGCAATGCAACTCGTCGGTAGTCCTCACGATGGACAATCTCTATATTTCCTGATCCCTCTATTTCGACTATTTGACCACATATTTCTTTTCAAAACTATTTATTGTTCTGTGTTTTGAAACCATAATTGCCTTGAGTCTGGCAGCGTAATTACGCTATGCTTTTGTGCATTGCATTAAATTATACCTAATAAGTAGAAAATTTTGTTTAACTTTCAATAATTGCAGTTGTCAAAACACATCCTCTCAGTTATATTTATTACGTTTAGATACGGTGAAATGTCAAGGCTGCGCTTAGTTGCCGCTACATCTTGGTTAAAGCTTGCACGTTCTCAGGCTTATGTTGAATGTATTGAAATTGGCTGGTATTTGTCAATGAGCTATATAATTTGTGTAAGTTTTTCTAGAAAGATGTTTGCTTTATTTTTACCATTAGTTGTTTAATAATGTTTAAAATTGAATATTTTGAGCATGTGTGTATTCGGTGTGTTTTGGTAACAACGTCATTATTCGCTCTAATTTAGACGAGAGTTCTTATAAAGGTCATTATTCCTTAGATCTATATTTCTCAATCTTTAACGCTTACCAGTTAGGGATACTTAGAACCTTCGCATTACTTATGATTTCTTGAAGAATTTCAATCCGCATATACACACGTGGTCACAGAAGTACTTTTAGTAATCTTTTTTTCTAAAGATTTGCCTGGTGGCATACTAAGATAAATAAACTTGTTGACTATCCTTTTGAATCCGTTGTACCAATTGAGTTCATAAAGATCTCACCAAATTAGATGACTATATTACAACGAACTTTATAACATGGTTGAAGTTTGTTGGTATGCTAATTTCTTTTTTGTTTATTATCACTTATTTTCTATCGAATTCCAACTAATGCTTTTCGTACTCTTTTCTATTCAAGGATCCATGCCCACAAGTGCGTTCACACTTCTTAACTAAACTCAATCAGGGTTTATATAAACTGAGTCTTCCTCTTGAGTACATGGCTATTTTCGCACACTCTGTTAATGTATCAGAACCTGCATTTAAACAACGTGCAAAACAACTTTTTATTGCGAATATCCAACGCCGTCGAGCATTTTTAAATAAACACCCTTCGTATTTTCGTGATGCCAGTAAGCTTTTCTTGTTGTTGTTTATTAATTTGACTCTTTCATGTTCAAATTTCTACAGTTCAGACTTCCAGAGGTGCATTCAGAAATACAAGTTGATTGTGCGATAGGACAATTTACCTTTGAACCCTTGAATGGTTCGCACTAAAATTTCTCATAACTAAATAACTCTAACCAACCAAATGAGCTTTTGATACTCCTATTGATTATCCACATGTAACTTCTGTCTTAGAGATGTCACGAAATAACACAGTACAATGCTAATAATTAAGCAGATACAATATTTAGAGCAAACTAATCTGAAAATTTAAACCTTTCTACTTGTAGTGAAATCTCAAGGATCTAGTTTATCTCTCAACCATAAATTATCGGGAAATAGATATGTAAGGTTTTGGTCAAACAAGTTACTTATGTATCACTTTTTAGGAGAACAGTTTCACTGAAATAAGAGTAAAGTTGTGATTGAACTTAAATTCGTATGCAGCTAACTACATAATCGAGTTATTTAGGCCAAACTGTTTATGAGATCAACGATCATTGTTATGTTGATTTAAGGGGAATTAAGGTAATAAATACGTAAAGGACCAAAATACATCAATAGCTTACAGGAAATTCTTGTTGGACTTTAAAATAGACATATTGGTGCTTCTCTGTTTTGATTTCATGTGTTGATGTTGTAATAATGCTCTATTCCCTAAGACGTATGTAATTAAAATGAGTGGTGAATAATATCTTAGTTAATTGTATCTTCGTTCTTGCAGTTTATTTCTTTTACATATAGTTTTCATCTAAATTCTCTTGAATCTAAGTTCCTCCATCTCTAAGGTACGTACTCCAGAAGCAGCAATTGTCTTTTATTGACTATCTTGAACGATGAATAGTAGTTATGTGATCTGTTTGTGTTCATCGTTGAATCATTGTTGCAGGTTGCTAGGTTAAAACAGTTTCTTTCTCTTCATACTTAAAGTTGGTGATTACCAGGACTAGGCGAGTGTCTGAACATAGTTGCAATAGATGGATACTTTTATAACCACACTGTGCTTAAACAAAAAAGAATTGATCGTTTATAATTGATAATAATATTTTTATGTTCTATTGACTTTATGTGATGTTACGAATAATTTTTATGTATAACAATATCTTTAATAAGTTAATTATTTTTATAATTCCTACAGAGTTTTTATTTGGTCTGTTACCTGATTATGTATTACCGTACGTGATTTACTTACTCTCACATGATTCCAAATGGACAAAACTAGATGATGTAGAAATACTTAATAAAATCAAAAGGTGTGTGTTTCTCTTGTACTAAATTCATTTAAAACTATTGTATCATTAATATTCATTTATAATCAAATTATGAACAATGTAACTTCATCGACTCCTATATTATAACATAGTAAATAATCAACATTCCTTAGAGGTAATAAGTTGTTTAAAAAGATTTTTTTCTTATTGCTTACTTATGTTATTTAGTGCTTTATGGTTCATCATGGAACCGATTATGTCTCATGGTGAAAATTTCAGTTTTTTACGAAAGATTATCGAAAAAATTAAATACGCACGAGATGCCCTTCATCCTGATGATACTCTGATTAATGAGGTGACTTTTTTATTTTGTTTTATTTTTTTTTAGCTTGTCAATTCACTCTTCATTTAAGAAAAAAACTCTTTTTATGTAATCAACAAATAATTTATCCACTATTAAAACTAGTTTTCTGTTATTATGCAGTTAATTTCGTTATTTTTATTTTCAGGATAATTTTTATGCTGTAAATTTGATGTTAAACAACGTTTTCTATTGACAGTATGTAAACAGTAAAGAAAACGATTTTCGATATTCACCTTACGTTTGTCTAGAATTAACCCAAAGTGTAGAAACAGTACTTATCTATACCAACACTGTAGATTGTTCGTTGTTCTATTGAGTCTATTGGATAAATGTTCTGTCATTAGTTCTTAACCTAATGGAAATATCGTCCACAATAGAATTAGTGATTTTTAGGTATTTTTAACGTCATGCAAGTAGAAAGATTTTCAACTTATATAGGGTGCATTCAAATTTTGTGTCACTATCAGCATTAGTCTGGATCTGAAGGGACTTAAGAAACATGTGACCGGGAGGTTTTCAGTGATCAAATGAAATGTGTCAGTGGCGCATTAACTCATGACATTTTCAGGATCAACATTTTATAACCTTTCCTTCCTGTTTTGAGGATGCAGCATCTCTGTTGATGCTGGTTATGTGAAGGGAAACAACCTAGCTGCTATCACGCTCTGTGCAATTAACAGTACTTCTCTGCTGGACCTTAAGATGCTGCGTCTATTCTTACGTTCCTCCAAAAGAACTGGCTGGCGTTTTAGGACCTAAGTAAAAGACTGTCTTAGGAAATAAAGTTCAATCGGATCACCACGATGAACCATCACGCCATGACGGTCACCACAGGACTAACTCCCTAACAATAATAAAATATCCAATATTGGGAAGTAGACCTTGGTGTAGACTGTTTTTAGTTTTCCTTTATGCTATTTACAGTACCGATAATATTATTAACGTCCCTGTTGCATCTTGTAATCGTGCGTATGAAAGTGTTGCGTTTCTCTTAACCAATGTCACATTTTCGTAAAGTAAATATAAATATTATCATAAGCTTCTTAAGCATCCTGTTTCCATCCAGTTTGAATATCAAATGAAAATTGACCATTAGTTTAGTATCCGAACGTATGATCAGCCTTAGAACTTATCGACTATCGATCTCAAATAAGAACGGTATCCAGAGCCATCGCAATTACATATGGCCTTTACCTTACCTCATTTTATGCATTTAACTTTTGTACCCATAGCAATTGAATACTGTTATTTTCTTCTCCAGTTTCTGGATTATCGAGTTAACGTAAATTTGGAATACGATTAATAGTATATTCCAAATCTTGTGCGATTTATTTTAAATCCAAGTATTATCAATCTGTATTAATTCAATGTTAAATTACTCATGTTAACAGTAATAGTACATAGTTATTGTTAGAAAATTTCCACTAGAACTTAATGTTTTTCGTAGCTGATTTGACTTATCAATTTGTTAGCGTACCCATGCTTTTTGAACGTCACCGTTACTATATAATTGTTGACCAAAAGTAAAATCAATCGCGTGTTGTATTCTATTTAATTTTGATTATGAATTAGTTTTCATTTTGAAACTCGAACCAAATATCTACACATAGGTATCTAAAATACGTTCATTAATTGGGCCTTGTGTTTGAACCTTAGTGAAAAAATTACCACAATTGAAACAGCATACTCAATTAAGATTCGACTATACCTTTCTCTAGGTATTTATAAATGACTGTAATTGTGTGGTTTTTTGTTATGTTAACAGTTATGTTAGAATAAAAAAGTCGAAATTTATAACTTTTGACAACTTAGATTGCTTTACTGTTTTATTTTTTTCCTTTTTTATTATTTACTCAACAGAAACTGTATACTGTATGTGATATTTCTTTGGGTCTTTTATTATCACGTTGCATTAACCCGACAATTAAAGAGTATCCGGTGGATGTCAAGCTACCTAAAACTCTTTTTACCTCTGCACCAAGTGATTTTCGTAATCCTGATTTTAAGCAGTTGATAAATATCGGTTCAGAAAGTGAAGCACAAACAGGTACAGGCATTATAAATTCACCTTCGGAAATGCCCATCAAAAATAAGGTTCAACCACTTTTACAGTTCACTCCCAACAAACACACGAAAGCATTTAAAGAAGGATTAATTCCTCCTGAGCTTGTAAAACCTAAAGGCGTTAACACTTCAAAGCCAAGGTATTTAATTAACTATTTTTACACTATATTGGTTATCGGTAATGGCTAGAACAATAATATAGTTCCGTCATATGGACATATTTTCTCACTAAGATGAAACTGTTTAGTAGCTTAACGTGTTTTTAACCTAGGTATTGACTTCTGGCTTTACCAAATCTAATTACCTCCCGGCCGGTGCCAAAATGATTCTTCGCTAGCAATTTAGTATTTGGTAAGAGTATGCAGTGCTAAAAGATGTAAAACATTACAGTTATGAGAAAAACATATCAATATTTTTCTCTTAAATTTTTCCACTCAATCAGGAGTTTTATCAAGAATCCTGGAAACCCATTTATGATCCGATTGTGGTCCAATTAAAACTTCCCTCTGAACCGAAAATGTTGATTTCGTCCGTTCTAGGTATAGTTAATTACTTATTACAAGGACTGATAAATATAAATCAGGTTTACACAAATATATAGATCTTGCACTGTAAACTAAACGTTTATGACTACTTTTGAGTAGCCAATTATCTAAATTTTCAATATTTAGTCGGATTCTTCATTGTTATATTAAATTAGTCATGAGATGCTAAATTAATCAGTGTTGGTTTATCTAAAATCTAAATGTTCTTTCAATTACATACAAACGGCTTACTTGATTAAACTGGACCTATTAACCGTGTACAATTTCCTCACTGATTATCCCGTTTTTTTGATTGTTTTTATGAACTTTTCAAAGACTCAGAATGGTTTTTTTCATATAGGAAAAAAGCAAAAGAAACAGTCAGTCATAAGAAAAAGGAGAGAAATGAGATGGAATTCAAGACTAAATCAAATAATAATATTGACGAGCTATCAGGGCATGAAAGCATCGACGATAATGAGAACTCTTTGTCAGACGGCCGAGATAAAAAACATCAACAACAGGAAGTTATATCCATTTGTGTAGCATCTACCAGTAGTAACATGTTATCCTCAGAAATTGATACTAAAGTTTGTGATGATGTTATTACGAAAACACAGGAAGTTAGATCGTCTCCCCCTCACCCAGAAGCTGTTAATAATAGGAAAAAGCGTCGAAAAACAACTCCGCAGGAAAATCTTAAACGCCCACGCATTAGTAAATTATCAGACTCAAATTCAAACAAAAAACAATCCACACTTGATTTTGTTGTAAAAGGTAATGAAATTTCCTCAAACAAGACCTTTTCCCAAGTAAAGGATACAAGTCAACAATCGTCTTCCATCTTACTGAGTAAGGATGTAAACGTTAAGCTTAAAAAAAAACCAGAATCCAGTAATGCAAAGCAAAATAAATCTCGTCCTAATAAAAACTCTAGAAGGAATATTAAAAAATCCATATCATCTAAAAAAAACGACCGAAACATCTCATTAAGATCAAGGAACTTAGCAATTTCAGAAAATTCTCAGAAGCCTACTAAGAATGCAGAAAGAACTTTACATTCTGTTAACAAAAGGCCTGTGAGAAGTAATGTAAGAAGTTCATCGAGACTAAAAACCAATAAACGTACAACTCTTCCGGATGTCCTGTCAAGACGCCCATCCTTGAGAATGAGTGCGGTAATCGCCAGACAAAAACTCTTAACCCCAATGTCCCAGTCTAGCTCAAACTCGACGTCTCAAGTGACTCCAAAACGAAAGTAAGTATATTGAAAAGTTTTAGTTTGCTTGATTCGTAAATGTAAAGTACGATTTACTTTGTCGAATGCGTGTGTAGAATATTTTCACTAAGTCCATTTCTTTACCATTTACTGATATCCCACTTCGATTTATACCTTACATGTGCATTGATGTCATTTGGGAAAAGTTAGATAAATATATCTTCTTTCGCCTAATAATAACTGTTATTTTATGTTACTTAAGCATTCTAATGATCGAATTACGTTCTCTCATATTAGTCCCAAAAGGTGTTTCCTAGTTATTGGTGGAAATGAAAAATACAAAATATACTCTTGTCCTACGTATAAAATTATCTAAATCATAAAAAACAAATTAAGCTGAATGATTTTCAATTGAGACCGATGTAGAGAATTAGGTCTAACTATTTGCAGTAAATTGTTGGCGATCACTGTGGGCCATTCCTTATTGGAATCAAAAACCTTACAGATAACTCCAGAAATGAGAGGTTGTCTTTCTCCACGCAATTCATTGCTGCAGCTTCGAACTTCATCTGCACATCTTTTTTTCCTCAAATAGGAAATGAGCTTTTGAAATATATATTTTGTCCACAACACAGATTGAAGGATCAGTACTGTTATTCAATAAAGCCGAATATACTTTTGACTAAAAACTTATATAGACTACGTCAACCGAATAAACAGGCCCCACCAGAGTTTGACATTCAAAAAATACCAATTAATTGCTTCGTAGGATTGACGAAGAAATGCAACGTAACCAACCTAAGTGCTAGATGAAATGATTCCTCATTTGAGAACTTTGTCGGTACTAGTTACTTTAAACCAAGAGGATGAGGACTAATGTGTCGTTACGACTACAACCAAACCTGACATTTCTCCAATCGGTTAATACATTTTGGGATTTTTAAAACTTTTACGGTTTATCATTTGTTGTGTTTCTATTTTTTAAGTCTTATCAGTGTTTCGAATTTATGGTTTTCTTTTTCTGTAGGTGGTAATACCTCTTGCGTAGCGGAGATCCTGTTTTAATTCTTTTGAAATCATTTTCCGAGGATGATTTGTTTTAATATTTTGTTGACCTGATCTCGGGTTTTTTTGTATCGAATTAATTTATCTTTTTCAATAACGTTTTATTGCCTGAGTCCCAAAAAGTTCATTTGCTACTAACCACCTAGTAATATTTCTTTGTAAATTATATTTCTTCCTAAACGCATTTATCCACGATTTTGTGCATCTAAGATATGTGGACGTTTTATTAATAGCTCTCTTATTCACTTTCCCGAAATACACCTATGCACTCAGACGACAAGATTCTTTTTTTTCACTTCTCTCCAAAAAGACTTTCAAAAAACAAAGTATACTAATATTTAGAGAAGAACTAAACGCGTCAAGATAATCTGTTCAGTAGTCTTGTTTCACAATCTGCTAGAGCCCATTGGTGATCAACTATTTCCAATGCTTCCCATTCTGTCTTGAACGCCTTTTGCATATCCTGTGGAGCTTGTGGTGTAGGTACTTGGTGATCTGTCAAAATCATCGAGTTATCAGCTGCGTTGTCCGAACCAAGTACCAAACCATACATACTTCTGAGGCCAAATATGTTCAGAAAATACCAAGATGCAGAGCTAACCCTAAAACCGGTTCAACTATCAAACAAAAAACTTACCAAGATGCATCCAGAGAAGTAAGCGACTCACAGCCCCTTTGAAGCATGGGCTTAAATCGATAAGTGAGTGGAAACGGGACTTTTGTGGTCAGAAAACCTGAAAAAGCCCAGTTGATCCAGCTGCCAATAACAATCATTGGAACCATATTGAGGGCATTGCTTCTAAGCATCTCAGTTGCCATTGAAGGATCTGTCGGAAACTTGGTTATAGTGTATGAGACTTACCAGCCATCGGATTATTCATTGGACTTTCTCGCTTTTGTGTTTTGAAAAACCCATGCTCCTTATCATTGAAGAAATACTTGCGCATTTTAAAAGCCTACAATATCTATCTATCCACTTCTAGATCTTACTTTTGCCGGCAAGAATCTTCCATTTTCACGTAAAAGTCTGCTGCGGATTAAAGCATGACTGAAATGGTAAAAATGTTGAACTCCGAGCTTTACCTATCGCCGATATTCTCGAGTTCACCCTTTTTCTCACTACTGAACATGATAGTCATGTAGTGGCGTAAAACTCCAAAGAGAAAAGTAATTATTACAAGGGGAAGGAATACCCAGGATCGAATAGACGGGTCTAGAAATAGTTCAGCCATCTGAAACATAAGTTGTTTGTTACTATTCAACTGAATGGTTATTTTGACTTCTTTAGATATTATTCACCGTTTTACAGGTTATGATTTGCAATTAAGTATGACTAGTCAAAAATAGGTTTGTTTTAACTTCTATAGTCCACAAAATGAGTTGACGATTAGTGAAACAGGCATAATGGATTTATAAGAATAAAACAGTGATGAACATATCGGAGAAAACTCATATTTTAATTTCCCACCAGTACTTTAACCTAAAATTAATAGCGATAAAGGTCATAGTTGTCATGTTGACTAGTTTCATGCGCTTTGTCACAGAAACCTCAGTACATTTCTGGGAGTTTTGTCCAGTGTCTTATAAATAGCAGTATTGTCCTTACTGTAACCTTATGAAGAAAATTTGATAATAGGAAAGTTGCCCTGATACGAGTAGGAGTATACGGTTCTCATCTAATTCCATGTTGAATACCGCTACTTTTTGTAAGGGGAGAACAATTCTGTTTTATAAGGATTTAGGCTTTGTTAGATACAGCCTTGTAGTCTTGCCTCTTCTCTTAACATGAGTCATGTGCCGTGTTTTGCCGGTTTCTATTCTTTTAAGCTGAAGTACGTGATAGGAATCTACTTTACCTCAAGATTCTTGTTGGTAACGTATATTTTACTTGTTGATACATAGTGTTCTTTACCGTACCAATCGCAGCTCAGTGATTTCCTCATATTTGCTAATCAGGGTGTTAGTTCAGTTTAGAAGGTATTCCGCATTTTAAGGTGAGACTATGATATATGAACGACGTTCAAGCGATGCCGAAGTGACCCTAAGCATGCTCACTCACCACAGTCAAATGAGGATCATACATTATTGTGGGGAATTGTTTAACTCGTGTTATTGTTGTAGTGGGAATGGCAGGCTAGCATTCGTCCTTGAAAACATTCGATTATATTGTATTTTAGAATATACATACTACGGAATATCAATCGGAAGCCGAACTCCCTCAACTGAACTTTGATATGTGTGATAAATAAGCGGACTCCTCCGACATGTAATTAACCTACCAGACATACCTTCTTTTAGAATATATAACATCACTAAACCTAGCGCGAGTATGGTGAGCCTCGTGACTTGGAATACACTGACGAAAGTTAAATAGAACATCAGGATTTTAACCAGTTCGTTCGAATGAGTAGTTTCTCTCCCAGTCAACATGTTTACCAAGACGGACAGTATATTTGAAGCATCACATTGTTCTGGAAACCACTTTGATCTGTCTAGTTGGCCTTGAAAAGCTGTTAAATAAATCAAGAGTAGTTATGAGTATTATTGGCGAGACGATAATTCGTGGATGGCCTTTGGGTGGGGCTAAAGTAATCACTAACTAGAAATAAATGGGACTTATAATTCGATGCGAGGGATTAGAATTATGGCTCATAGTTGGCGATTAGGTTCGGGTCTGGATTGAGGGTTTTCAACACTTAATGAAAGAGTAAGACTAATTTTAGATTTACACTAAATAGTCCGATTTCGCATAAACTGGTAATTCAACAGACTTATAGTTACCGAATCGCTATTTTTGGACAGCTGTTTCGATAGCAAGAACCTTATGAAACAAAGTTCAGCTCTTCAAAAATTGCTTTGTGTCACGGATTTTTATATTATTTGTGTCGAACCGATGGGAACGTACTATTGCACTAGCGCGACACAACCTTCAGTACCGTCCAATTTCGGGTAACCCACTAACGAAACGACCATTGTTCAAATACACAGGCCTGCAGACGTTATACCTTCTGAAGAGATAAGACTTAGTTTACATAGTCATTCAATTTATAAATATAGATGAATTGGTACGATTACTTATTTTTGATCAATTGTTCTGATCTTACCGGATGGAGCTCTTACGTAAATCTTTGTACAACACAATATCGTGTAATTCGTATATATATAACTTTTATTGAGGACCAGAGTCGAATACTTTTATCTCTTCACATCGGATGTAGCTATTTTTTGTCGAATGAATAGCCAATCTAATTAGGATAATTATACTGGGTCGACAAGCCGAGGTTTGATCACAGCGACAGATCAGTCATTCTCCATAGAGTCAAGGAGAGTGACAACTTAGAACCGAAAGCTCGTTTTCAGCATGACATTGTGTTGATAAAACAACTACTCAACCAAGTTATGCCCAAAAACATCCCCGGAGTCACCTTGCTAAAGGTGTATAGACTAGGAAATCTAGCGCATCTGAAACCAAATCAGTCTAGACTACTCAAAGTCGTTTTCAAATCCTCAAACGAACGCGACTTAATCTTAGAAAATGGACACAAATTAAAGGGTTCAGGAGTTTTTCTCCGTAAGGACTTACCGTTGGCGGACCGTGTTAAAAGACGGGAAGCCGAAAAGGAACTACAGCTCAGATTAGACGCTGGCGAAAAAGACCTGAAAATTGTAAATTTTCGGGTTGTGAGGCTTCGACAGAGGATGATGCCGATGCCACTCTGGGTGAAGCACGAGGCCACCTAAATAGGCTTCGGATCTGTTTTACCAACGCCCGGAGCTTACTAAATAAGCTACCGGAACTAGGTGTACAGCTTGACTCAACTAGGCCAGACATAATCGCAGTCACAGAAACATGGCTGACGCCGTCTATAGATAGTAGGGAACTTGATTTCGAGGGTTTTACATTGGTAAGGGCTGATAGAATACAAACGCGTAAAGGAGGGGGAGTAGCTCTATTCATTAGGAATGCTATTCCATTCACCATTATCGACAGTGTATCCCATGAGAGTGGGACGTATGAATTAGTTTGCTGCCGCCTGAAATGCAGGGGACAAGAGTTACTACTTAGTTTGATCTATCGCAGTCCAAGCTGTGAGGCAAACGAGGTCCTGCTAAGCAGTCTCAACACTTTATCACGAAGTGATCGATGTCTAATCCTAGGGGACTTTAATGCACCCATGGTGGACTGGGGAAATCTGCGTACTGAATCGTCAGCAAACTCCTTCGAACAGGAACTAGTTGATGCGGTAATTACATGTGCCCTAGTGCAACACGTGAAGGAAGCAACTAGGTACTACCCGGGTTCGGCATCATCCTTACTAGATCTTATATTGACTCATTATGAGGATGATGTTGTAAACCTGGATTACATGCCACCCCTAGGCAAAAGTGATCATGCAGTTTTAAGCTTTGACTTCCATATAACTGTGGATCACGAGTACGCTTCAGCTCAATCCAGACCTAACGTCTGGAAAGCAAACATACCAGACATCATGAAATCAGCATCATTAGTAAATTGGAAATTAGACCCAGAGTCATCAATCAAAACGGCTTGGGACGTATTCCGGAATTTATACTTAAAAGTTACCACCCCCACATCCCTTGGACTACACCTAAGAGACCGAGAAACTCCCCACCGTGGTTCAGTAGGGAGGTTCGCATCCTTCTCCGTAAAAGAAGGAAAATGTGGGACAGATTTAGGTTACTGGGGACTGACGAGGCAAAATCTCAGTATCAAAAGGCTCGAAATACCTGTGACTCGACCCTCCGTAAATCCAGAAAGCTGTACGAAGAGAAAATCGTTAGGGAATCCATAGAATGCCCTAAACGCTTGTATTCGTATATAAACCAAAGGACAAAAAGAAGAAGAAATGTTCCTTCACTATGGGGAGACAGTACTGCCACATCACTAGTGGAGGATGACTTTGGCAAAGCTCAAGTATTCTCTAAATACTTTAGCGATGTATACACCATAGAAACACCCTTCTCACCAGTCCATGAAAATCCACCCACACAAGCACTGGACAGCGTAACCATTAAAGAACTCGATGTCTTTGGTCTGCTAATTAAGCTTGACATAGGTAAATCCACTGGACCCGATGAACTGCATCCTAGGTTATTAAAGGAATTAGCTAACTTTGTTGCGAACCCTTTAAGTGTATGTTTTAATCTATCCGTAACCCAGGGTCGTCTACCAAAAGACTGGAAGAACGCCATAGTAAGTCCAGTCTTCAAAACAGGTACAAAACATAAGCCTGAGAATTACCGACCAATTAGCCTAACTAGTGTGGTTGTTAAAATCTTAGAAAAGATTATTCGGAAAGAGCTGTTTAAGAACCTCGATGAAAATCGGATCCTTTCGGAGAAACAGCATGGTTTTAGAACAGGTTACTCTTGCCTCACAAACTTATTAGTCGCTCGTGAAGGCTGGTGCGCTCTTAAGGACCAAAAATTACCTATAGACGTAGCTTACATCGATTTCAGCAAAGCTTTCGACAAAGTTCCGCATAACCGGCTGTTATATAAGCTAAGGAATGTCGGGATTGGAGGCAATCTATTGATGTGGATAAAAGACTTCCTAGTTGGGAGTCAACAAAGGGTAAGGGTGAACTCCAAGATGTCTAGCTGGGAAACTGTGCTTAGTGGAGTCCCCCAGGGTACAGTTTTGGGGCCAGTGTTATTCCTCCTGTACGTAAATGATCTCCCTCGTCTACTATCGTCATCGGTCTTAATCTATGCTGATGATGTCAAGATATGGAGAGCGATACAAAGCAAGGGCGATAGCTTAGAACTTCAAAATGACCTGGAGAGATTATCTGAATGGTCCCAAACCTGGCAATTGCCGATAAACACTTCCAAGTGTATTGTGATGCATATTGGCCATCAGGGTACAGATACATACACGATGAATAACACTGAGTTACCTATTGTTCAGGCACACAACGACTTAGGCGTCATCGTCAGTCAAGACTTAAAGACTACTGCACACTGCCGTGCAATAGCCGCCAAAGGTTTTAGGACTTTATGGTCCATACGCAGGGCTTTTAGGCATCTTGACGCTAAAACGTTTTTGACTTTGTATACAGTGTTCGTACGCCTTAAACTTGAGTACTGTATACAAGCAGCTAACCCCTGCCTAAAAAAAGACAGTGAACTCTTGGAAAGGGTTCAGAGAACAGCAACTAAGCTGACAAATTTGCACCTGATATGCCCTCATTTTTCTTGTCTTCCAAAACAGAAAATCTACGAGGACACTCCAAAAAAGTTCACAAGCCCAGAATGAATTACTTGTCAGCTGACTACCGACTTTCCCATCGAATAATCAACGAGTGGAATTCATTACCTCAGCACGTGGTTGAGGCTCCATCCGTCGACTCCTTCAAAAGAAAGTTGGATCAGCTGAGAGACCATCATTGCCAGGACTAACACAGGCCATCAAGCCTCCTGTCCTTTCCAAACTGAAACTGAAACTGATATAACTTTTATTGAGGACCAGAGTCGAATACTTTTATCTCTTCACATCGGATGTAGCTATTTTTTGTCGAATGAATAGCCAATCTAACTAGGATAATTATACTGGGAAATGGATTGCCAATATTTATTATATGAATCAATCGTCACTCACCGGCTACTATGGGATTGCATCTTTTCACGATACTTCACTGCCCTGTGGATCAGACCTTTAGATCAAAGGCTCGGGGTTTGGCCTACTGAGGAAAACACCTGCTTCAGTTTGGGTACTTGGGCAGTATCACAGTTGTCACACAAGTCAAATGAGATTTGTGCGGCGCATATGTATCTGGTGCTTCCTTGTACCAATATTTATGTGTTTAAATAAATAAGTAAATAAGGAATCTAAGACACCATTTGATGGCTGCTACTCTTGAAGCACTTTGAAAACCTCCCAATCCTGGCTCTTCCAGGAAAAGTGATCACAACGTTACAGCCCTTAATTTTACCGGTCAGACTGAGCCCGAACATTTCGCTGGCAATAAGCGCTGTATTTTCATAATGTTGAGTTTATCTACAGCAGGTGGATATGGAAACATGCTTTAAACTTAGTGTGAACTCTCACTGAGATTTTTTACTGCATGCGATCTCACGTGATGGAAACCAGCCTATCTATTAAATGGTCTACGAAAGGTACATACAACTTACAGCCCCAAATGTATGCGCTCTCTGAAGTCTTCAATTAAAGGTGCTACCTGATGGGGTACAGACGAACTAGTAACGACAGTTATCGAAGATCATCCTTAATTGATATAATAAATACCCTTGATTTTTGAATAGAATATGATTTTATTGGGGTGTGAGCGTTTGTTCTTTCTAAAGAAGAATATCAGTTTGCAATATTAGGTGCGAAAACTCGTTCAGAATGTTAGATAAACGCATTTTATGTGCAACTTAAATCTTCTTGTACTGTATTCGTTTGACTCTATGAAAGACTATGTTTAGGCTTTTTATCTACTTTGATGGCTTTTATTAAGTACATTTGGCTCACATTGGAATGCGCTTTAGTATGACCTACGTACGCTAAGGTTGAAAAAATTACAGTTATCATATTTTATTCTTCGTTAACGTGGTTAAACTTTGGAGAGCAGATCGCAACCACGATGATTAACTGACATTTCAGATGAATCTGAATATACATCAAAGTTGAGCGGATAACAACGGACTTACTTTGGAAACTTCAAGATGTAAATTTGTCCATCCGATACATTGCAAATTACATGTGTAACTTATTTAATTCTTCTCTTGAGGTATCTGAAGTTGGAAAATAAGTGGGATTGTTAGTAACATACGATAGAAAGTCTTACAGTCACTGTGAAAAAAAGTTATTGTTAAACTGCAGGACCTAAAGAAAGACACTTCTCCTGGTCCGGACATGGTTCATTCCGCCGTATTGAGGGAAGCAGCTTCAATCCTGGCGAC